ACAAATACACACACATACACTGTAACACAGGATTCCCTTGAATGCCCGAGAGAACTGTTTTTTTGTCTGTAGTGTACAGCACAAATTCTCATGCATTAACATTAATGCCTTGTAGGTTACAGGCTGATACTGTGTCTACTTAGTAAAAAGAGACCAAACAGCATCTTGGTGACATCTGCAAATATTAACTCCCACTTTCAAAATTGTAAAAGAGCTCAAGACAAACTGAAAAACCATAAATAAATGTTGCATTACAATTATCATAAACAAAAATGTATACAAAAACTAAATATATGCATGCACATCCCCAGACTCACTTCAGCGCAATGGAGTACTTGCTGGTTCCTGATTCGCTGTCCCTCACCAGGAAGCTGGCTTCCCTGCAGCGCTGCAGCTGAGCCTCAGCCTGCTGCCGACTCACACTGCCATGGTACCAGCTTGGAGAGAGGGTGGGGGGGTACACAGAGAGACAGTAGATCAATGACATATAGCTCTCTGACATATGGAGATAAGTCAGATGTCAAGTAAACGATAGGCAATGATGGTGAGAGAAGAAAGTGAGAGTGACAGGGGGAATGAAACAGGCTGACAATGGTTTGCACTGGACGTAAATCAGGCAGACGGATGTATGTTGTGGACTGAACAGGTTAACAGGGTCAAAGGTGAACTTGAAAGGGCAAAGAGATAAATAAGGATAAATATGGGAGGCCTATGAGGGACACATGGTGGTGGTGGCAGCTGACTACAGGCGAGAGCTGTATATATAAACATGTGGCCTTGATGCTTGGAGGCAAAACACATTGACATTCAGCCACAACATGAGAGGAGCAAATGTGAACATGCCCTGAGCTCTGAGCGAGTTCCATGTGAAAGCTTCACCTTCCTCCAGCATTTATATTCAGCACATCATGGGCTGCTGCTGGCTCATGTTTGCATTAATAAGTCCTCAATTTCACTTAAACAAGTGCCAAGTGTTAAATACAAATGAGATGTTGGCCAAGAGGACCATCAGCCTCTGATCAGGAAAATCGGCTTGATTGCTTTTACAACTTTTTCACAGAGGAATTGATTTGTAGCCACACTGAGGAGGGCGTGTGAAGGTGTGTGTGAAGTGTTTGAGTCCACAAAACACTTTAGGAGTTTCAGGGGTAAACTCCATTGGCATAGTGGTGAGGAGATAATAAAAGAGTTTTCATTATTTGTTGAACTATCCCTTTAATATGCAGACCTCGATCCTCTAATCCAGTTGGAAGCTGTGGTGGGCGCTAAAGCTCATGCCAGACTGTAAGAGGCAGATCACGTCGATCAACAAACTAAAACACAAACAGACCTTTAAAGTCTTTCACGTGGATGTGTTAGAGTTTCCACTTTGTCAAACCCGTTGAACTGTGGGAACATACTTTTTCAAAATCAGCCTGGATCTGAAGCCAGGACTTGTTAACTTCTATATAACAAGTGACTTCTTATTTTTTTTAATTATTGACCAATGGCTCTCCAAATGTGAAGCCAAAGCATCTTGATCGTCATAAATCCTACCTCCTCCATGTTAGTGGATGGGACATGGATCAAAGTCAAAAGTCAAAATAAATGGTATATACATTTTTCTCAGAGATGTTTTCTTTCTAACAATAAAAGTAAGCTAACTTGAATAGTTTTGTATATTTTGTGAGGGGAGTCAAGGAGGATCTTTCCTTCTTTTATCATTATATTATTTTCATAGTCAGTGCAGTCAAGTGGATCTTTATAGTGATGTCAGAAATACTTTGTCTGTGTCACTATTTTGTTTCATTTTGTACATTTGCCTGATGAGAACTAGATGAACTAGGGAGAAATGTCTTATAAAGTTTGGGAGCTACAACAATCTTTTCTCTCTTCTTACCTCTGCTTCTCCAGGGGCAGGCCGGGGTCCACTTTAGCTTCATCCCCATCCAGTGGGGCACTGAGGGAAGTCGGGGATGGAGGTGAAAGCTTGTTGGGGCTGGATGAGGGTGAGAGTGGTGAGATTTTGAGGGTTGGGAACGAGGGAGACGGGGGCGTGAGAGGGGAAAGTTTGAGGATAGGGGAGGACGGGAAGGAGGAAGAAGAGGAGGAGGACGGAGGAGAGGAGATGAGGGTTTTATGGTTCCAGTTCTTCTGTCTCAGGGTGTGTTGTTGCTGCTGCTGCTGCTGCTGCTGCTGCTGCTGCTGTTGTTGCTGCTGCTGGCGGCTGGAGGCAGAACTGTTCTCTTTAGTGGGAGAACAATCCACTGCCTCGAATTGAGCTGAAGGAAGCAAAAGAGACAAAATCAAGCTTTCATAACAGAATTCTATCAAAGCATACCAGAGCTACCAAAGTAAACATGTCTCTGGAAATTGATTCAGCGGGATTGTTGTGTTTCCTCTCTAACGCAAACGCAAAATTGTTGTGGCATCACTGTGCAAACAAAACTCGTGGCATCCTTCCTCCACACCCTAACTCCCCATCCCCACCCCTCCCATCATTCCTCTCTCCCTCTCTCTACCTGACAGCGCTCTGACAATGTCCTCCTTTCTCCACTCCCAGGGCAGTTCGTACTCTCCGGCGGGACGGACGTCAGACTCTGGTCGCGTGACAGGGATCCACACCCCCTCGCTATCGCCCTCCATTCCACCCTCATACGGTGTGTCGTAGATGTTCGGAGGCGAGGGCTTCCCCTCTTCTCCCTTCCCCTCTCTGTGGCTGCGGTCCAGCAGAACACACACTTTCAAAAGGTCTTTGGAGCCACGTCTACGAACCTCTACAGCAGAAAGGTCACATGATTAGTTGGTTAACAGCTTTCAAGTGTAGGAGTTTACCTCATATAATGGTAGATGGTTATAGATGGTAAAGGTTTTCTTTTCATCTTAAACACATTTTTCTTGTAACCTTTTCTTGTAGCTGTGCCACTACAGTCAGTCTCCCCATCTGTTTAACTCACCAGACAATTAACCTGTTCTCAGAAAAATTAAATAAGTGCTTGATTTTCTATTGTATTAGTGAACTCCACTTTTGTGAGGCCTTTGATGACCTTGATATGCAGTCTCTTTTTTTACATGTAAAATTTTGATGCTAGTCTAAACAAATATATTTGCCTAAATTTGCCTGTGACCAGACATGTACCTCTTGCAAGCATCTCAGTATTCATTTGCATAATGTCTCTTTCAAATGAGTGTGCCTGATTGTCACAGTTAGAAAGAGAAAAGGGGAAAATGTCAAAACTGGTGCTCAAGCTAAATTAAGTTCATTTAAAACACTGCACATTTTATTGACATTGCGAACTGGTAGAGTTGTCAAACAGTTCTCATTGATGTTTTATTTGAGTTTTCAATGTTTTCTTAACATACATACAGATTTGATGCATGGTTCCTGTTGTGAGAAGTCGCTGCATTTTTAGGAATTTCACATGTGTTTCTCTGCTGCCCGACAGGTAGCCTGCGTGTCTGCACTATTGTGTGACCAAACAATGGACCTACAGGAAGAAAAGGTCAACACAGCTGCTGATTGGCTGGCTGACCAGGCCACTTCCTGACTGCTAGGAAGTGATTGGGACGATGGGCAGTGGGTGAGGGGAGTTGGGGGGGTTTGTAGGGTTTGGGGAAGGTTGAGGGGGGGGTCTTTTGATTTACGGGACAAAGTATTGTGTGTATATGTCTGTCTATGAGTGTGTGTGTGTGTGTGTGTGTGTGTGTGTGTGTGTGTGTGTGTGTGTGTGTGTGGGGGGGGGGGGCATTGGGGCCAAGTTCCTATCAAGAGAATGGGGCAAAGGAAACAGAAGCAGGAGACAGGAAGTTGGAAGAGGAAGCTGCACCCATTGTCCCTGCACAATACTGTTCCTATGGCAACAGCCAGCCAGGAGGGAAGTTAGTGCAAAGACTGAGAGTCCAACCTTTTCTCTATGTGCCTTTAAAACTGTCCGTTAGCACGAGTGTGAGTGCAGACACGTGTAGAAAATGCGGGTGTACAATCGTGCATTTGTAAAGGTAAACATCTCCTTTAATGGCACCACCAATATTAAGTTTTGATTTGCTTTGAGTTAATTTTGTCTTAAACATCAGTTTCTGAGAAAACACCACCTTTAACTGCTGAGACGGGTGATGACCCTGACCCCACCTGTGATGATGACCTGGGCGTCGTAGGGCTCCATGTACCCATCATTCACTCCGGCTCTCTCAGCCTCCCTCTGCTCCTTGGTTTTCTCTGCATCAAAAGGATCAGCGTAGTCCTCCAGGATAATCAGCTGTGTGTGAGAAGGGAAAATATACCAGTCATAAAGGCACAATGCTGAGGTCCTGCTACCTATTCAGATGTTACATTCACCTGGAGACATCAGAGTCAACAGAGGGAGAGGGATCTGATGCACTACAGTGTGTGTGTTGTGTGTGTGTGCGTGTGCTTGTGTGGTGTCTATGACTGAGTGACAAGTAATGAAGGGACAAGCGGAAATACTTGTGCAAAGAGGTCAGTGCATTGTGTTCGACTGTTTGATGTCACACAATGCAGTGAAACTGTGTTCTTTTGAGAGCGATGGAAAATGAATACAGGTTTATGAAGTGATGTGGCGAGGGAAGACACAAAGAGAGGCACTGACATTAAGCCCCACAGACAAATCTGTATTTTACACCATTCCCCATATTGACTCCTAACATGCATTCTGCTAAAAACCACCTCTGACTTTCATGGTTTGATTCTAGCAGATGAAATATGAAGATCAAAAAGTGAGCTTACATTATCTTTGGTATCATCACTCTGAGTTACTCACCGTTGTCTTGATGTCAGACCTTCCCTTCTCGTTGTCAGGCTTCTTCTTTTCACTTATCCCGTTGAGTTTGGGGTTTTTGTCTCCTTTGTCCACTTTAATCATCCTGCTGATGTACGCTTGCGCCAGACTCGAAGTCCTGACCTGACGGTTCTCGTCTGGTGCCCCCGTGGCCTCGATCTTGGAGCTCTTGCGACCTTTCCCATAAGTGAGACTGTCCCAGACGGTCCCACCAGACCCAGTGTTATTACGACCCAATTCCGTAGCCGAATTTTTCCTGTTTCTCCCCGCTAACAACCCCCCCACTCCTCCATCCTTACGTTGATTACCTTTCAAACTGTCTCGAGAAAACGATGGTTTGGCTCGAGCTTGTGGACCTGATTCAGATGCCGAGCGGACCCTTTCGCTTCCGTTCTTCAGGTTGATGGGGAAATCTCTGAACCATCTAGCCATGGCTGCCAAGGTATTAACACGTCGCACAGATTTGATATTTAGCAAATTATCTTTCTTTTATACGCGCTGCGCCACTAGAACTCACACTGAAACGTGCGCAACAGCTCCAACTTTACGCACAAGTATTTTACGCACGCCTCACATTAACTTAGGAATGTAAGTAAGTAAGGATATCTGCGTAATCAAACGGACTGGAGACCTCTTTATTCTGCTGCACTGATTCCCAGCATCTGAAACTCTCCCTGACAGTCAGAGAAAGTCTGGTGCGTCTTAAAGATCATTGGCCAGCGGCTCTTCTTTGCTGCGGTCACCCTCCAGTAACAACTATCCCTGCAGTTTGAAAAGTAACTTCTGCAGAGCGTAAACTCGAAAGAACTGGAAGTTTTTCTTTGAACCCAGTAAAGATCCCATTCCCGGAGCGTGAGGTGGTGCGTCCTGTCTGTGGAGAGTGAGGAGATGGAGAGAAAAGTCCGTGCGCGCAGACGGTGGGATGTTGCTGGAGTTTGGGGAGGGGCTGTCTGGACGGGGCGGGTAAGAGCTCTACTGTATTTAAATTGAAAGTTTCAGAACCACTGAATTTGCAGAAAATCCCCAATCTTTATCAGCGGCTGTGGAGATGTCAAGAGATACCTGGGAGCCACATGGGATTCGGAGTGTGATGACAAGTTATTGCACAATTTGAAAACGTTCTACTCTATGATTGTATTGTACATGTTTGTGCTGCATATTTGCAATTCATTCAAGTTTATTTCATTTTTATAATGATGTGGATCTACAAGTCTTTCAGCTGCTATAGTTCCATGTTATCGCTTTTGCACCTGCAGCCAGAGGCCCAGACGCTGCAGACTGAATATAATTGCGCCACCTTCTGGTAAAATGTAGAAACCAACACATGCACCAGTGAGTTTTTCACCTTGGCTCATCACTGAAGTTGAAAAAGTTGAGTCATGACGGATTTTGTTCTTAATTCAACCTGGAGTGAAAAATAAGGGCCTGACTTTTTCAACCCAAGGGCCTTAAAGTGGTCCTGCACAGTGAGTGATTGACACATTTATTCCACCAATAGCAAGCGTAGCCGATATCCACAGTCCCGCCTACGTTTGTGCGCTGGTCCAATCACAGAGCTGTGTGCTGTGAGGCTGGGCGGGACGGTCTCATCCCTGACAAAAGGTAACAGGTTGCAGTCGGACACATGAACTTGTCTCAGTTTGTCGCTTTGAGTCCGTTTTTCTCTCCGGACTTTTAACGAATGTGTGAAAACACTTCGAACCATCGTCGAACGTGAGAAGACGACGTGTCCGAGAGAAGCGGAGCAGTCACTTTGGAGAATAAGGTAACTTTACGCTTGGTTTTTGACGTAGAGACGAACAGCAGACAGTCTAAACTCGACCTGTCAGACGCTTCGCAAACACTTCTCGGATGTTTTCTGGCTTTTTTATTAGAATAAATCCGCTTTATTGTTGTTTGTCCACAACACTGAGTCACTGTGAACGTTCCCTCTGTGTTTCTGTTCGTCAGAGTAGCTCGTTAGCTAGTTTGATGGATCCAGAGACACACAGGGACCAGGGCTCCCAGCTAACTCCAGCTCAGGATACTTGTTTTGATGTGGTTTACAACACACTTCAGATGTGTTTGTGTTTAACTCATCAGTCCACGAAAGACACATGAAGATGCTTAATTCAAATTAAAGCTGTTGTTTGATTTCTGAGCAGTAGAAGTGTCTCTGCTCTGTGCTACCAGGGGAGTAAGTCACTGGAGAAACTGAGCTCAAAAACAATTTCCACTCATCAGATACAGTGATTTTATTCTCCCTCTTATTGTTTTCATCAAGATAAGATAAAACTTTACTCATGTACATTTGCTGTGTTGCAGCAGTAAAGAGGACAGTCAAAACTACACACCTTGCAATATAAAAGCAAGGAAATATAACAATATCCACAGAAGAGAGATAATATATTAAGTGTGAGCAGAATATATATACAGTGTATTGGATGGCATTGGAATTAGTAACCTTTATTTAACCAGGTTAGTCCAATTAAGAGAGATCCTGCGTAGCTGCAACACAGTTTAAGTTAAAGTAAAAGACAAACACACAGATTAATAGCACCGGGGCTTAATAGCATCAACAGGCTGATGTGCATTCACTAGAAGGGAATTTTGAGAGAGCTGCCCTGTCAGTGCAGAGATTCTCTTCAAGATTAAGCTCGAGACGACGGGTAAGAAAGAAGTAAGTGCAGGTTATAGTTATGAAGTTGGTAATTAAAGGTTCATGGATTGTGTCATGATTTTTCAATAATTGTAGCATTGAACCTGCTGAACTGCCGGCAATGGTTTCATGTTCTTTATAATAAAAGCTGGTAAAAGTCTTGCAGATAGAATCCCATAAATCAGTCTAAATCTTTCTCTCTCTCTCTCACGTACGCACACACACACACACACACACACACACACACACACACACACACACACACACACACACACACACACACACA